TTATCTCGATTAATCGCAATTAGTTCCTCCTACTCGTTTCACTACTTGTGGATTTGCAACTAATCGATTAATCGCGCCAGGACGATTACATGTAGTAACTGAAGAATTATATGCGAGTAGTGATTGTTATGGAGTACCAATTAAGTTACACACACTACCACACTGTACATGATCATGATCCAGGGCACACCTGCTTTATTTTGGCAGTCTTCACTGATAGGCTTGTGGTTGACTGGGCCTGCAGCAGTTCAGTTCAACGAACTTTACCTTTTCCTACTATTAACCTTCGTCCAAAAATGTAGGAAGAGTTGCTAACGACAAGTATCCAAGGCTTCTGTGTCATGTTGAAAGAAAGTAAACTACTTGTAGTTCATGGGTTCATAAATTCATTCCAGACAATCGAGATGTTTCAAATTACGCACAGATCCATTTTTTGATGCTAGTTATTTTGTGTCTTGGAATTTTGAACTTTGTGACTGAAAGAAGTAAATGTAGAATAGCCTTTCTGCCCCATCCACAAACACTTGGAAGTTTCTCTGTTTCATAATTTTTTCCACGCTTAGTGAATGGTTTGTAGAATAATTAGCTTGGTGGGTCCGATGAGTAATGCCTCAACCGTTATACTTCATGTTCAATGAATGAAACAATTTTTCTTCGTGTGAAATTCTGATTTCCAGTATTGTTTACCTTATTTTGTATAATTTAGAATTATTGCTCCATTCTATCCACCGTAATGGGATTGGACTCAAAACACTTGTGAAAAAACACATTTTACACAAATGAGAATTTCCCAAGGTAATTGTCGAATGTGATCACTTATTGCACTGGCTGACCTCAAAAGTTCAGACAGAATGCCCTTTGAAATAGACGGGCACCGAAACCCAACCATGTGGCCGCACGGCATACACCGTGCAGCCCCAAGCTTTGAAAGTGTGCCAGTTACCTGCCCAATTTAGCCAGTGCCAAAATGACGTCGCAAGACTGTGGCTGCAGTCATTGGCTAGTATTTGTTAGTCAGTTCGTGATGAATTATTCATATTGTCTCACATGCTCAAACAATGAACGAAGGCTGAACAACAATGTCCGTGGGCTATACCCATTGAGAAGTTTAGGGAGGTTATTTAGAACTTAATAACGTGAGAATTTGGAATAAAAGTAACTGAGTAATCGGATTTTTTTCCCATGTTTAAAGGCAAGAACTACTCTATTCAAACAGTTTCAGACAAGCTAGCAGCTTTTTTATTTCAAAACTTAAAAAGATTTTTAAAATTGTCTTGCACATGTTCAGAATGGAATTGGCGGCCAGGCATCCTGCTTTTTGACAAACTATGTAGTTTTCCAATACTTGACTGCAGCTCCGTCGCAGGCCTCAAATTTTTTCTTACCTGGCTTTGAAGTTGTTAATGCGATAGTAAGTCTGACAGTGCAACAAAATATCAAGTTAGATGCAAAAGAGCCAAACATTACAGTACCTCAAATTAATTAAAATGCTTCAGGCCTACAATCAGGGATTGGTTTTATAGACGAAGCCTCAGACAGAGACGAAGTTGAAAAATGGCCCTTAGTCACATGTAGTCGTTTTATGTACTCGGATCCAACTTGAGCTCAAGTTCCAGCATAACCCGTATGTAATTGTGATAATTTTATAGCAGCTACGGAGAATACTGTTTCNCTATCTCGATTAATCGCAATTAGTTCCTCCTACTCGTTTCACTACTTGTGGATTTGCAACTAATCGATTAATCGCGCCAGGACGATTACATGTAGTAACTGAAGAATTATATACGAGTAGTGATTGTTATGGAGTACCAATTAAGTTACACACACTACCACACTGTACATGATCATGATCCAGGGTGGCACACCTGCTTTATTTCTGAAGTCTCCACTGACAGGCTTGTTATTGACTTGGCCTGCGGCAGTTCAGTTCAACAAACTTTAGCCTTTCCTACTATTAACCTTCGTCCAAAAATGTAGCAAGAGTTGCCAACTGCAAGTATCCAAGGCTTCTGTGTCATGTTGAAAGGAAGTAAACTGCTCGTAGTTCATGAGTTCATAAATTCATTCCAAACAATCTACATGTTTCAAATTACGCACAGTCCCATTTTTTGATGCTAGTTATTTTGTGTCTTGGAATTTTAAACTTTGGGACTGAAACAAGTAAATGTAGAACAGCCTTACTGCCCCATCCACAAACACTTGGAAGTTTCTCTGTTTCATAATTTTTTCCACACTTAGTGAAGGGTTTGTAGAATAATTAGCTTGGTGGGTCCGATGAGTAATGCCTCAACCGTCATACTTCTCATACTTCATGTTCAATGAATGAAACAATTTTTCTCCGTGTGAAATTCTGATTTCCAGTATTGTTGACCTTATTTTGTATAATTTAGAATTATTGCTTCATTCTATTCACCGCAATGCGATTGAACTCAAAACACTTGTGAAAAAACACATTTTACACAAATGAGAATTTCCCAAGGTAATTGTCGAATGTGATCACTTACTGCACTGGCTGACCTCAAAAGTTCAGACAGAATGCCCTTTGAAATAGACGGGCACCGAAACCCAACAACGTTGCGAGACTGTGGCTGCAGTCCTTGACTAGTATTTGTCAGTCAGTTAGTGATGAATTATTCATATTGCCTCACATGTTCAAAGAATGAATGAAGGCTGAACAACAATGTCTGTGGGCTATACCGTTGAGAAGTTTAGGGAGATTATTTAGAACTTAATAACGTGAGAATTTGGAATAAAAGTAACTGAGTAATCAGATTTTTTCCCATGTTTAAAGGCAAGAACTACTCTATTCAAACAGTTTCAGACAAGCTAGCAGCTTTTTTATTTCAAAACTTAAAAAGATTTTTAAAATTGTCTTGCACATGTTCAGAATGGAATTGGCGGCCAGGCATCCTGCTTATTGATAAACTATGTAGTTTTCCAATACTTGACTACAGCTCCGTCGCAGGCCTCAAATGTTTTCTTACCTGGCTTTGAAGTTGTTAATGCGATAGTAAGTCTGACAGTGCAACAAAATATCAAGTTAGATGCAAAAGAGCCAAACATTACAGTTCTTCGAATTAATTAAAATGCTTCAGGCGTACAATCAGGGATTGGTTTTAAAGATGAAGCCTCAGACGGAGACGAAGTTGAAAAATGGCCCTTAGTCACATGTAGTCGTTTTATGTACTCGGATCCAACTTGAGCTCAAGTTCCAGCATAACCCGTATGTAATTGTGATAATTTTATAGCAGCTACGGAGAATACTGCTTCTGGCTTTCCAGATTTCAGAATTAATGAAATAACATAAAT